TAATACTCAGGAACAGAGAAGAAGATTTTCAAAGAAATAATGCATTTTCACTACATAATCAATAGAGCCCCGCCCTAACACCAGAACCCCTGACCCTGGGGCCATAAAATTCACAAATTTGGTAGAGCCACTCTTGCTCATCATAACTATGAACTTAATTTGTTTATTTAATACCCAGGAGCAGAGAAGAAGATTTTTAAAGACTTGCTGCATTTTCACTATATAATCAATAGAGCCCCGCCCTAACACCAGAACCCCTGACCCTGGGGCCATGAATTTCACAATTTTGGTAGAGGACTCAATGCTGATTACAATCATACCAACAGTTTGACTGCTTGATGTCCGGGAGTTAAGAAGAAGATTTTTAAAGATTGCACTATTTTTAGTGGTTTTTGCCCCACCCCCCAGGCCCCAGGGGGGCGGGGACCACGGAATTCACAATTTTTGTTCCCCTTCACCCATAGATGCTATATGCCAAATTTGGTTGAAATTGGTTCAGTGGTTTCAGAGAAGAAGCTGAAAATGTTTAAATGTTAACGCACGACGGACGACGGACGACGACGGACAAAAACGGATAGCAATAGGTCACCTGAGTTGACCTAAAAATTGAAATGTCACACGTATTAAAATTTTTTTCAATTAATTTTCGTACCGTGTTCAAAATTTAGAAATTGGTTCGCTTTTTGTAATGAAAATTCGCGTAATATGTTTATATACTATTTCGTGAAAGATTGCTGAACCTTCATGTAATGAGAAATAAAGTTGGCGGGACAAATGATCAAACATTAAAGATTGTAGGCTTTTCTCAAGCAAATACAAATCTCAGATGAAATATGAAGATGAAAAAAACGATATGAAAATATTACCTTAATATTTTATTATGATGGCTTTAACCAGAGATTCTGTATGAGAACTTTAGTTTTCCAAATAGTTACTCAGGGAAGTACATGTTCTTTTCATTTCAACTATGCAGAAGTAATACTTTGAGAAATATTCCATCTTTATTCTTGGTTGCCTTCATTAGCCACAAATATGCATGTAAGTTGTATGATTACGTGAATAGCCTTTAAGTTCATGTAAATCAGTTAATAAATGAAGTAAAGTTCTTCTGGCATTTTCATTTCAACCAGAAAGAGTTACCTTGTGTGGCAATATATCTTCGTTTTCCTTCTACATCCTATAAAATGTTATTTGATAGGTTATAAAGAAATATTTCTCAACAAGAAATAGTTTTTTTTTTAAATTCGTTTATCGTTATCGTTGTAGTAACAATGCAGAGTCAAATACCGATTAATCAAAATAATCTCGTAAACCAATTCTGAAGAAAGTATATTCCAGCAAAGTCATATACAGAAAAAAATACACAAAATAGGTATTTTGCGTTCTTTTATTAATTCTATACAATTAAATAAATTGTCTTTATTTATTTGTTAATGCCGGGTATAACTTTGGAACCCAAACAGAAAAACAAACAACAACATTAATTCACCAGCTGCGCAGGCAGTAATTTTTCTGATATGTTGCAACTTTTTACTTGTGTTAACAATCAGAAATATAATGTATTGTAAAATAATTTTATAAGTGTACTAATTTTTCTTAAAATCAAAATGAAGTCACATACATTAACTAGGCTCTCCAAATTAGTTAAAAGGTACCTTAATATAATTTGCATTGATGTAGTCATTATCTGGGGACACATTCAACACCACACGGGAATGGTCATCTTAAGAAAAAGAGGAAACAAAAAATCATTTTTAATTCTAAACTTCCATGAAGCACATTAAGGCGATAAAGGTTTTGAACATGATAAATGTGAAAGGGGTGAAAATGAATTTTCACTTAGATTTATATTTACATTAATTACTACCCAGTTATACTTGTTATTTATAGAGAAAAAATAATTTTTGCACGTGTTTTCAGTACTTTGGAACGATAGTAGATTCAAAGAACAAATTATGTGATTTTAGAACAATCTTAGTTTTGGAGATTTAAGATGTACAAGACTTAGTGCTTTTAAAGAAGCCGAAAATGTATCAATGATTTGTAAGGACAGTAAGAAGAATATCAGAAACATTCCTAATAAAAAATCCTATGTAGAAGGGTAATTAAATCTATCATTTTTAATTTAAAGATCAGAAATGATCATGAATATATAAAGGCAAAACTTAATTGTATTTAAGAATTTTAAACAATGACGGAAAATAAAACATAATTGAACAACATTACTTGGGATATTAACTTACATGGAAAAGTAGTTTTGTATCTGTTTTTCGGCATATTTTGTTGTAGTTTAGCCACGGAACAAGGAATGTGTTGCTGTTCTCCGTACGGTATTCCCTGAAATATTTAAAATAAAAAATCAAACATCTCGTACACACATGTTAATAATAATTTTAGTATATCAGTTCTAATATAAATAGCAAATTATATCATATTTCTTAAAATTTGGACTATTTACAACATTGTCCTTGTATGCAATTATAAAGTCTTCAAGTTGAATTATGAGAAACTTCAGAAAAGTAATTTAAAAATTCGAAAACGTGTCTGTTATCCCCCTTATCCACAAAATATGATTAAATTTTATGAAATTTTTCAGTCTAAAAATGCAGGATAAATTGAAAATATACATATCATTCAACCGCATCCAATTCAATTAATATCGAGTGTAAGAAAAACAATGTTTTTTTTCTTTTTGAGATTGTAAAATCACAGAACGAGTTGATATGAAACTCTACCATAAAAATCATTGTTCTGAGTAATAAAATTTTCATAATTAAAAACCACAATGTTGAATTATAAATTTCAAGAGATATTCAAAACTGAAAAACTAAACATGGAACTTCTGCAGATTCTTCCTTTTTTATCATTATAAATTTCTAATATAACGGTATCTTATGTTTTTTTTATTCATCGACTTCTTTGTACTAAAGAATATGTATGAGAAATAGATTTTAAGTTTAAGAACCAATATTTAATTTCTATTTACAGTTACCCGAGTCATAAAAATACTACTTTTCCTTGTCACAAGAAGCAAAGGCTCCCTAATACTACCTTAAATTCCTCTGTGAATTTCTTATTTTCTTCCATCGAGAATATTTTGATGATATTTCCAAGATCAGCTATCTTGATGAGTGTTTTCTTTTGATCGTTGTCTGTGACAATATACTCAATCTCAGCGTTTTCTTCCATAGGCCCACCGTTCTCAGTTTTGTTTTCTTTGTCTTCAGGTTTACATTTTAGCAAATCTAAACCAATTTATTATAGATGGATATGTTATTTCATTTAATTCTATCTTCTTAATACATGTAAAGTTTATATATAACTAAATTCATATATGTCGTATTCTGAACAGTTTTACAATCGCAATTTCTTAACTATCTCGTAAATACCCTTCTTTAGGTTTCTTTTGGGATTTTATCAGATAATACACATGTATTTAACATTTCTTTTATACTTTAATATTTTTTTCCACTGAATATTCTCCTTTATTTCTTAAGAAAACTCATTGCCTTTAATCAGTGCATGAACAACACTAGGCATATCACCTGTACAGATTTCTTGATCAGTGGCTGTTCTATCAACGAAAGGTACTAAGACGGACGTTTAAATAATACAATGATTGATATTTTAAATGATTATTTAAACAAAAATAAATATAAACATTTAATGTGTTTCTTTGGTTGTTAGTACGGGAATGAACGTCGCAGCTATTGCAGAAAAAAATTCTGCAACAGCTGCGACGTTCAATCCCATACTAACAACCAAAGAAAACATTTATTGTTTAAACATCCTTTTACGTAAACATAAAATACTTAATGAAATTTGTAAAGTAAATGACTAATTATGTTAATAATGAAATTAAGAGTAAACACTTTAAATGTATATTCTAAAGAAGAATAAATTTCAGCGACATCTTATTTTCGCAAAAGAGACACTTGCTCTTAATTAACAAGACAGAATGTTCACGATTTGAAGTTACTGCTCTACACTATATGATCTTTAGAAATACTTATAAGTTAAAATAATATTTTCAAAAGCACATTGTCTCGCGTAAAATTGCAAAAAATAAGTTCTCGTGAATAAAAATGGGATTGACAGTAGATGTAATAACATCATATTTACATTTGTTGTACTTATTAATATGTACATGAAAAGCATACCGCTTTTAGGCGTTTCTTTCCTGTCTGGTAACTCTATTTCATCTGCCTTTTTCTTTCTTGATTTTCTACAAATATATTGATAAATGTTAAAATTCTGCAAATAGAAAACGGTATATGGGTGTATAGAATCCATCACTAAATCAGTACTGGACAAACCTTGCCAGAACAATCACTAGCACGATGACGGCTATGACGAATATGACCAAGAAACTAGCTACCCCCGCGACGGTAGGTGTCAAATCCTGTACCTGGCTTTCTGCAACTACATAATAACCTTTATATTAACGTCTATAAAATTACATTTATTTCATAAACTGCCTTTATTTTTCATTTTGAGCACTCAAATTTCAATACAGAAAGTGGGGAACAGAACATCAGATGAAATTCTTGAAAATCAAAGTCTTCTTTCGCAGTAAATATTTGCACCGATAAAAAGTCTTCCAAACGCAAATAAAAGATATCAGATGGTAAATTGAATCCTTAAATTCAAAAAAGTGGTGTCCTATCTAGAGGGAGAAAAATCTATAGAATGGACGTTTAAAAAACAAGCTCATTATTAACAGACATAGTTTAAATTTGATGTCAAAAATGTATAAGTAATAATATTATACAATACTAATTCATTTATAATCATACACTAAAACATCAATTTGTTTTAATTACATTACACCAATTGAAAGATCTTTATCTGAAGTACAACCATCAAGAACTCTTAATTAACACAAGCAACTATAAGGCCATTTCTTTTTACCTAACTCCCAAGAGGTAAATTAAGATTAGATCTAGAGACCCTCTTGCCAGTTAGCTCCAAACAATGAACTCATTAATTTATCTCTAATTTGACATGCACATTTCTGCTATCAAAAATTCTCCTTGACCAGTGCTTGATAATTATGCCCATGGGACAAACTGAATTCCTCTCAAATCATTAACATTTGTTATAGAATTTGCTGTAAAGTATATGATAAAAAATAAGTTTTTACTTAATTTAGCATTTTTTAATAAGGATACAACTATATTTTTTACATTTTTAAGGATTATGAAATTTAAAAGACTTAGTTTTTAAAAAAAAAACACTTAAATTAAAGGTCACAGTGACCTTGAAATATGTCGTGACACACTGTCTACCCAAGATGCATAAATTGTCCAAGTTTGATGATTGTAAGTCTAATAGTTTTCTAGTTATGACCCAAACAAAATCACAAAATAAAAAAGAAACAAGAGAGGCCAGGGGCCACAGTGCTCACCTGAGCACATCGGCTAGGAAAAAGCTCATATCACATCAGAACTGAAAGTTTACTGAAGTGGGGGGGGGGGAGGAGGACTTGAATTTTAACACCCCATGGGACCATGATTTGAACAAACTAGAATCTACACCACCTGAGGATGATTCCATATAAATATTACTAATCATGGCTTTGTAGTACTTGAAAAGAAGATTTAAAAAGATTTCACTATATATTCCTATGTAAAACTTTGGTTGGCCATTTTGGCCCCACCCTAGCCCTGGGGGTCATGATTTGAACAAACTTGAATCTACACTACCTGAAAATAATTTCACACAAGTTTCATCTTTCCTGTCTCAATGGTTCTTGAGAAGAAGATTTTTAAAGATTTTTCCTATATATTCCTATGTAAAACTTTGATCGGCCATATTTGCTAATCCCTACCCCCTGGGGTCATGATTTAAACAAACTTGAATTTACACTATCTGATGATGATTCCACATTAGTTTCATCTTTCCTGGCCCAGTGGTTCTTGAAAAGAAGATTTTTCCTATATTCTCCTATGTAAACTTTTGATTGGCCATTTTGGCCCCACCCTAGCTCCGGGGGTCATGATTTGAACAAACTTGAATCTACACTACCTGAGGATGATTCCACATGAGTTTCAGCTTTCCTGGACCAGTGGTTCTTAAAAAGATTTTCAAAGATTTTTCCTGTATATTCCAATGTAAAACTTTGATCAGCCATTTTGGTCCCACCCTAGCCCGGTGGGTCATGATTTGAACACACTTGAATCTACACTACCTGAGGATGATTCCACATGAGTTTCATCTTTCCTGGCCCAGTGGTTCTTGGGAAGAAGATTTTAAAAAAAATTTCTTATATATTCCTATGTAAAACTTTGATCGGCCATTTTGGCCCCATCCTAGCCCCGGGGGTCATGATTTGAACAAACTTGAATTTACACTTCCTGAGGATGTTTCCACGTGAGTTTCATCTTTCCTGGCCCAGCAGTTCTGGAGAAGAAGATTTTTTAAAAATGCCATTAATTTTTCTCTAATTCATAATTATCTCCCCTTGGAAAAGGGTGTGGCCCTTCATTTGAAAAAAATTGAATCCCCTTTACCCAAGGATACTTTGTAGCAAGTTTGGTTGAACTTGGCCCAGTGGTTCTTGAGAAGAAGATGAAAATGTGAAAAGTTTACATTGACAACGACGACTACGACTACAACAACAA